ATAATAATTCTTGAAAATACTTTTCAAATTATTTTAAGAATAGTAATAAGACTTTATTAATCAATAAGCATAAAATTTTTTGATTAAAAAAAATTATATTAGTTTAAAATAAATAAATATTAATATTAAATAAAATTTTTTTAATAAAAAATAAAATATTAATTTTATATATATATACAGTACCTCTATATATATATATATTTCAACTTGTTTTCAAGAAAAAAAAAACAATTCAAATTTTATATTAAGAAAAAAAAAATAACTTTATTATGTAATAATATTGTGATTTGACATACTGTAATACTGTAACTAAAAATATAAGAAGTATTATTGATACGTAATGATCGTCGCACAATTCTATACTCGGTGCAAATAAATCATTGATCAATGATTTGCCAGTGGTCATTGATAACAACTCTATTAAACTTCAATAGGCGGGTTATTTTTTCAATTTTTTTGTTTCCGCCTACTGTATTAACAGAAAAACATAACAGAAAAAAAAAAAGAATGGATAGAATTAAAGAGGTCAGTTGGTATTTGCATTTTACGAGATTTGGGTGCGCCTATTGTATAGTAAACGTTTTGAAATGCACTCGTTATTCAAAACATGGGATATAAAACATTTGTAAATGATTTATGACACAAAGCAAGGTTCTTTGATTTCCCCTTTCCAAATGATAACATTGGATTAATTGAATTTAATGTTGCTATGAATCTATTTTAGAGACTTAACACCCTTAAATCTGACCTTGATGCCGCAAATGAACGTGCGGACATAGCGACGAAAGAAGCAAAAAAGTATCAAGACGAGGTTAGTGAGAAAGAACAAGAAATCTCTAATCTTCAGAGGAGAAGTGCAACACTCGAGAGTCAACTAGATGAAAAAGAGGCGGCCCTAAAAGAAGCCCAAAAAAAGTACGTAATATTCAACTACTTAAAGCAATTAACAAATTCTATCGAATTTTGTTTGTTCCATATCATTATAAATGGATGATAGTATTAACAGGATCGAAAACATTTTATATAGGCTTAATGATGCCGAAATTAATGTAGAAAATGTAGAACGTAAAATCAATCAACTTACTCAAGAACGAGATGATTGGGAAAAGAAATATGAAGAAAAAAAGGCCGAATTTGACAAACTTAAGGCTGAATATGAAGCCGCCATTTCTTCCATTGACGATTTGTAAACTTTAACAGACTATGGCCCTGTCACGTGTTTGTGGCGCAGCCTATACAGTATTATTAACATTAAATTTTATTTTAACAATAATAAATTTAAATTTGTATTAGTAAATTTTTATTTGATGTATTTATTAAACAACATATTTTAAATTAATTTTATAATTATAATTTTTCAAGCCCTTTGTTAGGTTAAATATGTGTTTTATTAAACGTTTTGTACACTTTATATTGAAAAATTTATTTTTAAAGTTAAATCTCTACCTAACTCACTGGTTGATATTTTGAATTTATCAAAACTCTAATTGCAACTTTGGAAGTAATTTATCATTTCATTAGTAATTCAGTTAAAAATCTTTTTAAACTATTAATTCCATTGTCTACAAGTTACTATTATAGATCACTTTATAATATTTTGATAGAACTTAAAATCCAATCACTTCATTTCATATTTTACTTTAGAGATCTACTTGTTAAGCTTCTCTAGTTTTTCTTGATCATTAATGACCAGCTTAATACTTTTCTTTGCAATTTCTATTTTTCTTTCTTGCAAAAACTTTTATAGTTTCTAATAATTCTATTTACTTCTTTATTCTATACCACTTGTAGTCAATTCTTGTAGGCTGAATATTCTAGCAAGTATTTTATAGTTTTTTCTTATTGATTAGAAACAATATATTTTATTTATTGTATAAATCAAGTCTTTTTATAGTCAATTTATTCAACATTGATAATTTATTATTGATTAATTTGATAAGAAAGCTTTTTTGTTAAGATTTCTTGAAGAATATATTTCATATATACTTATTTTTAATTCTTTCCTATATTAGATTCCACATATAAAGGGAATACTCTGAAATTTGATATTTCTATTTTTTCTCTATTTTATTTTGCTATATCTATTTATAAACTATTGTTTTGTTATTAATATTTTTAACAAACTGTCTGATTGAATCATCTAAGATCTTATTTTGTTACTTGATTTTTGTGATAATATTATGTAAGAAAAGATCTTTTCATTCAATCAGTAGAAGTTTTAAAGCTTCTTTAGCAAGAACATTGACTTCTTTATTGTAAGGATTATTGAAGTGTACCTTAATTTTGATAAGCTTTAGATCTATGTTTTTCTTCTTTATTAATTTTGTCATT